CAACAGCAAATCATTCAGGACACAAAGGTAACAAGATTCAGAAAAAGAAATCAAGGATATCCAGACTTCTAACAAATGGTAAATACATCATAGCTGAGACAGTAAACCTCTTCCCTAAAGCCTGGAATCATCGCACATTTAGGTATGTGGGACACGTTGCTTTTGTCTGGTTTTGGTTTCCTACTGATCGCTCTGGAGCTGCTGCTGTTGGGCAGTCAGGCTCGGAAGGACTACTGGCTGGTCCAAACGGCTTGAACACTGCATAGACTTGTTCAGCCATTTAAAAAAAATCACGGAACCTACCTACTTACAAGCAGGTAAGTAGTGGTAGTCAAGTAGTAGTATTAATAGTAGTAAACAGTAGTCAAGTAGTAGCACATAGTAGTCAAGATGTCAAACCCTAAGCGGTAGGAAGAAAACATGCTAAATCATGAAAGTAAGAGCACTTAAAAAAACACAAAGCTACTTACTTAGTTGTAACTCAGAGAGACGGTGGTTGTGAGGAGGGAATAATCACCAGCTGCACTAACCCAACAAACTTCCATTTGCTGTGTGTGCTTCATTACCACAGAAGTAAGCTATTGAGATCTAATGTTTCAAAGGCATGCATTTTACCAAGTACCACCTTTTCTAACATGTTTTTTCACAGAACAGAAAAAGTGAGAAGGGATACAAAGACTCCAAAAGCCTGAGCCAGCACCTCTCGTGAGCCTGTGAAGATTTGGCCGTAGCTCAGAGGTGGCCTGAAATGCAAACCTCCAGTATAATTTTACATGTACAATAGGGTTGCAGTCTGTCACTGTGATATTAAAAACAGTCATCTTTTTTCAGGTATTCAAGGTACCTGAAAAATGGCAACCACACCTGTGAGCTATCAAGTAATCACATTGGTCCAGGGTCAGCCTAGATCTTAGGAAACCTAGAAGAATATGAACCTCTTCCTCACACACAAGTCAAAGGGGCAGGAGAATGTAAGGACGCTCTGAAGCCCTTCCTTGCTTGCTCATCTGCAGGTAGCAGAACAGCATTTTCCTGCAGATCTGTGGTGTAAAGGCTAATTAAATTAATGGTCTGGCTCGGTCACACTTGGGAAATGTTAAATAGATGGCTCCTCATCAAAATGAGGAATGTAAGACAAGGCACCTCTCTCAGTCTGAACTGTATCGTTTTTGTTCATGTAAAACTAACCTTGTCTCTGAGGGTTATTAGATTCCAGATCGCTTCTCACAACTATGTATTGTTTCTGCAATTCCAGTTTTCAAAGTTCTCCCCTGAACCACATGGAAAAGAAATAGTAGAAGGTCAGACAACAATGTCCAGTCTTCTCAGACAGCTATAACGGTAATCTGGCATGCCTGGTTTCCTATCTGGAATTGTTGGTCAGATATTCCTCAGCAACCACAAAAATCCATGTGTTCCTTTGTCTCAAAGACTATGATGATGAAGTAAGTTGGCTCTTTCACTGCTGTGTTTGAGACATGCCTTCTTTAAAATACATGAGGTGAGAATTAAGTCATACATCAGGGTTGTCATGAACAGCTGAGACATACATTTCAGATCCAAGTATGAAAATGAAATATCTGACAGAACTCCCTTGCTTCTTGTATGTATACCAAAAGAGGTTCCTTCAAGAGCTATATATTTGTCCTTTTGAGCTACACAGCCATATCCATACTTAACCAAAATGCTGAAAGACACCATTTCCTTGAAAACAAGACTGTGGAACAGTATCTTAATAATGTGAAAGAGCATTATGTAAAAAACAGCAGATGATTTGTTGAGACTCTCAGTTTGTTACTGCCAATGCTGGACCACACTATCAGATGGAATATTCTGTCAAAGATTTATCTCGTTACCCTGAAATGCATTTTCCATTTCATAATGCTATTTAAGATTAGCATATGTAACTCTAGAAATAAACCAGAACATTGATTATGCATGTTAGTCTATTCACATTTAATAAGACACTCTAAGTTCCTGCAAGAAGACTACATGACTAAAATTCCAATTTGGAGTTTTTCAATGGGGAAAATATGATAAATTTTAGCAACAGAGATGTTGTATGTATTATATATGCCCTGTTCTGGTTTACGGAGTTTAGTTGATGTACAGAAAACATAGCAGTGAAATGAATTACTACAGTACTCACTTTATGGCCCTTTTACAGTGGTGTATTTGGCTGGTGCCAAATCCAGCATACAATATCATATTGTAAATGAGAATTTAGTTAGGCTAGAAAGCATAACTAAATAGGTCACTACACCATATGACAGTAGATGCTTTAAATATAGAGTGATACACAGACATATACCATCTGAAAAACAGAAAAGCTTATTGAGTTATGCCACCTTTGCACAGAACAGGCATCTACAGACCATTTAAAACTTTCAGGAAAATGAAGTAAGGACACACAAGAGTACTTGTTCATCTAATGTCAGCAAAGGTTTTGTGTATGGAAGCCAAAATTCCTTTTTGGTTTTGGCTGGTAGTAGGAACCTAAGTTGATAAACTGTCTTCTAAAACATTTTTGTGTGTTTGGCATCAAATATGTGCCTGTTTGGTGAATAGTATAATGAACACACAGAATTACTGTGTGAAGGCATTTTGTGAGATCTGTGTAATTCAAAGTAGAATCACAGAATCACAGAATAGTTTGGGTTGGAAGGGACCTTTAAAGGCCACCTAGTCCAAACCCCCTGCAATAAACAGGGACATCTTCTACTAGATCAGGTTGCTCAGAGCCCCATCCAGCCTTGACCTTGAATGTTGCCAGGGATAAGGCACCGTCCTGATGGCTTGAAAGTATTTTTATAACATGGCCCAGGAACTGCCAGTGGTGTAACACTGGTATTCCACTGACTTGGTAAAATCTGGCTTCTGAGTTTCAATTATAGACTGTAGGCATAGAATTAATTTCATCTAAGATTAGACAGCATGCACCATATACTTCTGCAGTTGCATTGACTTTCTTTATATTCAGTGGCCACAAATATGATAGGTGCAATTTGTGTGACTAGTTTTGAACATTAGGATGTGATTGAAGTGCTTTTTTTCTCTTCGCTGACCATAAAAGGGAGCACAGAATGACAGACTGACTGGTAAGCTAATATAGATAGATGATGGGGTACCATTCCTAAGTACAGTTGTGCATTGTGATAAGAATGAGCTAAAACATCTACATAGGAGTACGTAAAACACAAGTTGTATCTGATTTAGCTCAGGTAGGATAAGGATCTTCAGGAGACACTTTTGACATTATAACAGACTAATTGGCTCAAAACAGCATAAATGGGTCAAAGAGACTTGAAACAGCATAAATCGGTCAAACGGAGTTCACATGCTCTCACTTGTCATCAGACATACATCTGCATAACACAGTACAGCAGCATGGAGCTGTTGATCACATGTTGCTTAGCAATGCGCGTTTTCCGTACAGCATAGGTTGAATCCTACACTAGTACAGTAGCTGCTGTGGTTAAGCAATTTTCAAATTACTTATGAAGATCCACACTGAACCTGACCTGCACCAGTATATGGATTTCTTTGATCCACATGCAATTTTTTTACTCATTGAGAAGATGCCTGTAATCAATCTGATGTCCCAGGAAGGTGCAGATGAGAAGAGTGGTCTTCACCAATGTCAAACTTACTCATCATGGTTCTCCAATCAATTGTTCTCCTGGATTTAGATTTTCATAGCACCAATGGACCTTGCTGATCACGTTTTGTATTGGCCCATTTCAGTGCGCTGCCAGTTTTCGCACGTAGGCAAAACATAACAAGCTATTCTGAGGTTGAAGAGTGGTCTACAGGTGATCAGGAGCTCTCAATTAAGACTGGCTAATGGTTCTGTACACTGAACATCACCAGTGAAGCAGATTTTGCTTGGTGAGATGACAGATGGATTGTTTATATCATGACGAACTTTACAGTAACTTGACATTCAGAGGTACACTTAACGCTCTCCTCACTGAGCGAATCTAATGCAAATTACGTATTATTTACATTAATGTAATGGGAAGACCCTATCCAGAGCAGCAGTGCAATCTAAAAATTATACACACGTTAGCAAAGTCATTCAGTTATGTCTTTGTTTTAATGAATTTTTTAAACATTTGTATCATCAGACAAAACATTTAGGTCATGAGAAAATATTTATTTCCAACAGCATGGATTTTGAAAGTTAGTTGGAAGAAGGCATGTTCAATGCTATGATTTTTCCAAAGCTGGGTCAGTTGAAACAGTGTGTCATAGTGCATATATTAACCAGTTACTTTAAGGAAATGCAAAAAGACATAGTGAAGTAGGAAGTGAGTACGAACATTCAAGGCAGTAAAAATGCAGAATACTGACACATGGCTGAAAAATGTACTTTATGTAATGCTCTTTTAGTATCACACAGAACTAGCAACTCACTTTAAAACATTCTTTGTCAGCAACCATACTTCTGACCATAAGAAATTATTAAATTTAATACAGTCTTTCAGCTGGAAGAGATATTAGGTCTAACGCTCATATCAAACACATAGATTTTGTTAGCTTTGCTTGTTATTTCAGACAGTTTCAAGGTACTGCACCAGTATCACATAGTTGTTTGGGTTTTTTTTTTAAATTGATTTGTATAGAAACATGCAAATAGTAACGCATGAGGGTTTTATATATTTGATTATAATTGGATGTATTCTTGATAGAGCACACCAAGCTTTTTTTGTTACATTTTATGCTGAACTGTTCCATTCCCACACCTACCAATTGCCATCACAGTTCTAGTGGCTTACTGTGTAAAGCCAGAAAGTGAAGAAAGTAAGAATGCCTTTACTTAGGACATATATTAATGAAAGTAATTCTTCTATAGATAGATATATCTATCTACATATAATTAAGATTACATGGTATTTTTATCAGCATGAAATGTAAAAAAAAAAAGTTCTCCAAACACCCCAAAGTAGTAGGAAAGCACAGTTAACTGGCACAATACACTCTTCAACCAGTTTTGTATAAGGCTTCAGTTTTCCTGATGAATGGGACTAAATTTTTAAGTAGGTCTGTATACATTTTAGTCATTACAACTGTTTTATGTCATAATATATTCTTAATAAAATAAAAACTCTTGTGTTGTAATTAAAGATAGCTAGTTACCTCTAGACAAATATGACCTTTTAGAGAGTAGGCTGTGTCTAAAGTGTAAGAAGTAGAATTAAGGTGCTTCCATATTTTTGCTTTCATTCTTAAAAAGTACCACAAATAAACAATTGCAATAATTGCTTGCGAACATGCTTTTCTTTGGCTTTTACCATATTTTTAATAGCATGTGATCCCCCGCTGGAGAATTTTTATATTCGTTACTTATTTTGTCAAAAATTTGTTGTAAAACTTAATGGAACAATATGTTGGATGCATTTCCTTTGTCACAGTGACACTTTTTCTCTTCCTTCCACAACTTCCACTTGCATCAAGCAATACTGCAAGCAACAATAAATTTAAAGCTAGATTTTTTGCATGTTGTAAACTGGGTAGGACCAGGAGTTACTGACAAAACCAGCTGGTCATGCAAGATTAGCAAATCCTCTGTATTCCAACGCGTTGCCATCTAATCTGTCCTGTTTCCCCCGACACATACTAACACAATGAAGCTGGACAATGGTTCAACAGCAAGTGCATGTGGTACTTCTGGCAAGACTATTTTTGTTTTGATTAAGCACATGTTTTATCCAGGAGGGGCTAGAAAAGCAGGGCCTTTTTCTTCAGGTCATTCCGCTTCCAAAGTGCCAGACGATCAAACTCCTCAATGCTCATTTTGAAGACTTCCTGGAACTCGTCGGGGGACAAATGCCTCTTGAAAATGAAAATACAAAAGGTATCATTAAGCTCTTCTGTGCACAGGAATATTTCTGCCCCTCCTAAGTTTTAAAACACACACAAAATAATGCATTAGCATTTGCATTTAAATTCCCAAACTGGTTCTGGAAAATACTGCATCAAAACCAAATGAGGTCAGAGTAGCTGGGAAATGAAATTAATGATGGCAGTAGTGACTTTCGAGAAAAAATAATCTTTTCAATATAGTTCCAAGTGAGCAGAAGTTGTGGTCTTCAGGAAAAAGATGTGTTTATACTTGGTACTTGATGACAGAGCATGCTGAGACAAATCTAAGCTATTCTAGGACTTTAAAGAGATTGATAACAATGTAATTTCAGAGTTGGATTTGATTTGCCTTGATCTTTAATGAGAGTGGTGGATGCCACACTGGTCTGCTAATAGCAGCCATGTAACAAAAGGAGAGAGCACACTGCTAAATTCTTAAACCCAAAATGTGCTTATCCATGGGGATAGACTCATATCAGAAGTCCAAGTTGGATAAAGTTGTTTTTCTTTAAATGCCAAGAACTACATTTAATGCCAAGAGCTACATTTCTATTTGATGTTTTCATGATCCAACATTAAAAAAAAAAAAAAAGAGAAAAAGAGGAGAGTACCAATACAAAGAACTGGAAGGAGGTAAGATAACAATTGCCTAACAATGATCTGTACACACACAGAAAAGGCAGAAAAGATAAACATGTGACTTAGAAATGAATACCATATAAAATTCTCCTGATAATTGTGGACTAACTCTTGTTCAAGCATTTCAGCAGTATCAGTTATGTTTCTCTGTTTCTGATGTGCTAAACACACGCCATCTAAAAGAGACAGATTCAATGCAATGAGAATTACAAATTGCAATCTTTAAACATGGACTCTCCTCTTCTACAAAGATTTCCTTGAAACCTGGGACCAACCCCGCAATCTAGCCCTCTCCTCCCCAGCCGAGCTTTTGACTTGAAGTTGCCTTGGCAAAGCTCTCCTTCCAGGCACACCCAGGCAGCCCCATCCTGAGCACCTTGGTGCCTGTTGAAGGACCACCTGTATCCAAAAATGAGGTCCCCCAAAGCTGCTAAGGGCAAAAAATGCTTGGACGTGCCTCACACAGCAGAATCAGGCTCATCACATACTAGACAACTGCATTATTTCAAGGGAAGGATATCGGCCCTTTCCTTTCATCTCACTCCCCCCTGCTTGCAGGACTTCCTAGGAGGTGAGAAACCTGTGTTTAATGTCCTCGTCTCCTGGAGGAGGCTCAATAATGGCATCTAACTCTCAAGACACATGCTGGCAAGTCAGCCAGGAGGGTAATTTTAAGGGAGATACAAGTCCTCACGAATGTGAATAGTGCTGCCTTCAAATGCTGAGTGCAAGAAGGTGAAGGTAGAGGAGAGCACAGCAGTCCCCAGAGGCAGGGGAGCCGCTGGGTCCTTTAGACTATGTTTTTACTGCTAATTCAAATAAGCCAAGGCTGTCTATCATTTGAATCAGGTCCCAGCATCGTCTGGAAGAGCGCTTGCTGCTATTAGCTAAAATTGTGGCAGGGAGCATGCTGACATGCCCTGGTAGTCCCAGGATGGTTTAACTGTCCAGAAGGGACACAGTCCCATTGGCCCTACCTTACAATTTTTTTTTTTTTGACAAATCTGAAAGCAAAATTTTACTTTCCACTTATTAACAATGCATTTGTCTTTGTAATGTAAATTACTCAAGGAAAATTAATGGAATTGTTTAGAAGAAGTCACTACATTTAATTACCTTGAATGGTCATTATGGGCCCTTGTGGTTTCTTAAAAAAGGACAGCCTTGGTTTTTTTCCCTTGAGATTCCACTTATTCAGAACAACAGTGACTAAGAGTTTGGAATGGAGCCTTCATTTTTCATTTGACCAATGACAGCAACCCACCATAAGCACTATGCATAGCATGGAACAAACACGCCATGCATATTTGGCAAAGGAGATCCTGTTTCGCATGGAAATGAGCAACATCTGACAATGTGTTTTAGAAACAATCTCTCACTGACAGAATTTAATTCTACTGGGTTTGGAAAGAAAATGTAACTTCTCTCTGCACTGATTTTTTTCCCCAGCAGACAAATGTGAGCAAGCTTAACTTCAGCAATTTCTCACAGCAAGGAACATGTCTGCAAGTTGTGGGATTGAAAAAGAAGTCTGGATGAGCCAAGTGTATCGTATTTTGTTTTATCTTGCTTTCTAGATTGTGGATAAGACTTGAGGTGTCCCCTCACTCAGGAGAAAGCAATGACAAACTGTAGTTCATACTGAAAGAGGAAATCAGACAGCCTATACCCTGCAGCTAAACCCACTTTGCCAATCATCCAAAACCATAGGAAATATAAAAAGGAATGTTTTCAACATTTTTTTTCTTGAGGTAAATAACACCATTTCTTCCTAGAAATTGCTATGGTCTCATCAGACCTGTTTCAACACTGAAGGTCAACAGAGGGAGAGTCAGCAAGCCCTATGCCAGGCTTCAGGCCATTTCTGCAGGGTGTTGAACACTCGCTACGCTTCTTGATGAAGCTTGCCACCGATCTCAGCACAAGCTCTGCAATTCCCCCTTTCCTCTCCAAGGCCGTACTTCGCCATTTATCATTTTGCTTTGCCCTCAGGCTTAGCAAGCTTTCAGTCTGCATTCATCTATACAATCCAGCATGAATTAGAAGTGCGCTGTGCTCCTCCGCTTGCATCCAGATGACTTCACATTCATTCCTTGCATGCATGCATTTTCTAATTATACTGAAGTTTTGTTTTACACCAGAACCACTGTTTTTTTCCTCACAGAAGTTCTCAGTTGGTGACGCCTCATCCAAAAGCAGTTGAGAATTTCCAGCCCAGGGATGCAGTAGCAGAGATTGAGATGGGGAAAGCACGAGCTCATTTATTTCCACCTCCCATTCCACTAGGCAGTTTCTTTGGTCTTAATTCTCCTCCACATACTGTCCCTTATCTCAAGGACTAACAACCAGATTACAATATTAGCAAAGTTTCTTACTCCATCAATGCATTATCCACATGCAAAAGTAATTCTAGTAGAAGGGAACACTTCCCCTTTGGTCCGAACCCTCTCTGAGGACACCAGTCTGTGCCCAGTGTAGCATAATTCCCACTGTCTTCCCTGCATCTCAGAAGCGTTCACCATCCCTTTCTCAAGCATCATGAGCTCTAGCTTTGGGACCAACCCTAGAAGCAGCAATGATTACAATTCTGTCTGCAAATTTTGGAATAAACCTTGATCCCAGAAAGATGTCATCAAACTGGCAAAGCTTCAGATAAAAGTAACAAAAGTAATCATGGTTGCAGAGTTTGATTTATGAGGAAAGACTAAAAGGCCTAAATATGTATAAGCTTAGCCAAATGATGACTAAGGGAAAATATGGTAAACGTCTACAAGTATTTGAAGGGTCCAAACACCATGGGAATAAGCCAGTGTGGGAAGTTAATGTCCGTACTTTTCTTTGTATGTGTGATGTTAAATTTTGTCTGCACTATTGTTGGGACTTTCCTAAACCTTATAGCTTTAAGACCTAGCGCTCTCCACAAACAAAGGCAGAGAAAATGCACCACTAAGAAATCTTTGATTGATTTATTTTTCTTCTCAGCTATTTGAATATTAATTTGTCTTAACTGAATCGTTACCTTGTCTCACTAGTCAAACAAAAGAAGAGAAATTGAAAATCATGCATAGGGAATAGGAAGGATATTCATCTTGAGGTATGAGAGAAGATGTGTGTGTAAAGCTATGCTTTACAAGGCCAACAACATGATTTTTTTTTTTTTTTTTAGGATTGGATCAGCTTAAAATATCCAGCTATGTTAATAGTGCATCGTTGGGCCATTAAAGGAATGGCCAATCTTATTAGTAAAAGCAACATTCATTGCTTTTTTTTACTAGCGTTGGCCTTGTTTACATAGGAAGTCTGGGTGTTTTACAGCATGCTAGTAACCGATTCCTAATTCCCTTTGTGACAATTTGGCCATATTCAGGCATATTCTACTTCTCTGCTCTGCATCAACAGCAAAGCTGGGCACGTTGCAGACACTGAGCAGAGTACAGAGGACCAGATTAAGGTCCCCTTCTGCCCACACTCTGAACTGACTGTATTTAAGTGAGCTCAGTTTGGAAGCTGCACAGTGCCGTTAACATGATGTGACCTGAAAACCTTGCTAAAAGATAAGGGAAACAAACAGTTTAAAAACAGTTTGTCACTAAAAAGACTCCTATACTGGAGCTCGTTGCATCAGAACATCAGCATTTTGGATGTATTTAAGTGTGAAATTGCCACACTAGAAAGGACTACTGCATCATATTGTTTTGATAAAGTTGTATTAATCTGAGGCTTGTAAAGTCAACAGTGTTCGACGTTTTGTTCTGGGTAGCATTTCATGTCAGCTTGCGTGGGAAACCAGAGAAAGACAGTTCAGTAAAGTGCTGAGGATCCACCAGATGTGTCCACGGGACGCAGCAGTGGCTTTGTACGGAAGAAGAGAGTCGTGTCTCCTGAAGCACAACCTCTCACTGACAGCATTTTGGATTACGAGATATGGGATCACAACCTTGGGATGCCACTTTGGGAAGCCTGAAGGTGGCCTGCAGCTTGGGAACCGAATGCTGCTGCTTGTAATTCCTCACCTGGATGTCACCTATATGGCACAGCACTGTGTAAGAAGGGACACCACACCTTGCTGTAATTATGCAGCTAGTTCTCCTAAAACATACAAATGCACAATAAAAGAATTAAAATGCAAATGTTGCTTATTAAGATATATAGAGCTAAGCAAGAGCTGAGCTAAACCTCTCCACTGCAATGCAACCACTGTAATGGAAAATCCTCATGCTCTACAAAACACGACCATTAAAATGAGCAGTACAGATACGTGCTCATTTTTTAGTCTCTCAGAACAAAAGTAATTAATTGCACATTCAAACACTTATGCCACAGTGTTATCT